GACATAAAGGTAAGCTTTTAGCTAAGGCACCATGTGGTAACAAAACAAACAAGGGGGCTTAACTTAACATATTATCACAACATAAATAAGAAAATTGAGCAATTTATATCATACCACAAATAGTAATCAAATGCAATGAATGAATACATAAATGTAGATTAATGCATCTCTACAAAAGACTTTCCAACAACATAATAATAAGATCACATAATCCATTAATTCACATCCTACACACATATCGATATTCACCAATAGTAAGTGTCCATGTTGGGAAAAGCCTCATTAAGCAAGTTGGTAAAAGTCAAATTCTTGGTGGTGGAATGCCCATTAACATACATGATACAACATCATTATAGGCAGACTCGTCATCATTGTTCTTGGGTGATGGTTTCTACAATGCATTTGGTAACAAAAATTTATTTAAATGAAGGGAAAACTATGACAACTTGAGGCGATTAGGTCATGGTCATAAGCTATTATAGAGAATCCTTGAAGATTTCAAAACCAATTACAAAAAAATAAGGCAAGAGTCTCTAATAGGCACTAACATACTAATAGTCAACTTCAACACAAATGAAGGAATGTCTAATATGAGATCACAACTCGAAGAAGAATTTTAAAATTTCATATCAACATGGACCTCGTACAATCAATGCAAATATGAACTAACTTGTTGACCATGATCAAAGTGAAATTAAAGGACATCTTAAGGGAGAATTCTGATCTTGTTGTATGGACAATATTGAATATGCTCGAAATAGATCCACAATTCATGTGCACAAATTGAAAGTTGATCTTAAAGTCAAGTCAATAGCCGCGATACGATGAAAAATAGGCCAAAAGATGTTGAGTTACTACACAATAACCCAAGCCAATAGCTCATGCAAGTAATTGTTGTCCAAGAAATCTATGACACAATAGTTGGTTAATTGCACACACATATAAGAATTAAATATATATATATATATATATATATATATAAAGACAATTTGTTAATTACACACACATATAAGAAAAAAATATATATATATATATATATATATATATATATATACATAATTTATACAATATTCATTAACAAAGACTAATTTATATTTATAAAACATGATTTTTATTAATTAAATATTATTTTAACACAAATAAAAATTTACAACATTATGTTGACTATCTTTGTATTTTTGAAATAAAAGTATA